AAACAATTAAATTAGACCAAATAAGTATATAGATAGAAAAATAGATATGGAGGGAATTTGTTTAGATATTTTTTGATTCAGAATTTGTACAAATTTAAAGTAATTTTTCATATTTTAAAAGAGATATTTTTTTTATTTTAACCTAGTCATACTAGCTTTAATTATTCATTTTGTTATGAAAAATATCTCTTCATCTTTATTTTTTAATTTAATACTTGATAAGTAATCAAAATAAAAATATAAATTAGTTTTAAATTTTTAATTTAAAAATAAAATTAAAAAATAAAAATCTAATATTATTTTGGCCAAGAAAGAGAAGTAAATTTCTTACCTATCCTTCAGTTTTCTAACTAATTTTTTTTTGCTTCATGGAAATAGCCATCTTTATTTAACCGAAGAAAAAAATTAAAAAAAAAAAAAAAGGAAAGAAGAAAGACTATGTAGATAGGTAAAGTCAAAACAAGGGCTTTTGACAATACGGGAAAAATCAAGAGTAAGAATCGTAGTTATCAAATCAAATAAAAAAATCACCCTAAACCTACCAAACAGTACGTACAAACTTCCAAAGAAAATCCATTCTCTCTAAATTTTCAAAGGGAATAAAGAAACAAAAACGAGAGTGGTTTTTGGATATCAATATCTCTGCCCTTTTAACAGCACCTGGTATTTGCAATTTATTCATCTTCATTGTCTCTTAGCCCATTGGTTTCTCCAGAAAATTCTGGGGTGTTATTTTGCGGGAAAGTTTTCTGAAAGATTCTGAGTAAACGAACAACCAAAGTCATTTGGTTCTGCCTCAGATTGTCTCTTTTTTTTGGGTTCCTATTGTAATCTATTCGCTCACCGTTATCACCCATAACAAGGAAAAAATCTGAAAAAAGGAAAAGAAGAAAACCGGTGAAATTTGATCGGAATTTATTTTCTGAGCCGGAAGTTTAACGTTTTGTCACTAAAAAACGGCTTCGGAATTCCGGGTTTAATTAAAAGAGTCACGAGAAGATCGTTTTGTTTTTCTATGAATAACAGGAATCTGGTTTCTGGGTATTTGTTGGAATCCAGATTTTTGTTCTCAATCACGCCGGGAATCGGATCTTGAAGTCCGGCGCCTATGGCTATGAAAGCTTCGTCACTAGACCACTGGCGGAACTATTTCCGGACGGCGAATTCGGACATTTTCGACATAATCGATCAGGCGATACTGGTGGCAGCTCTGGATTGCCCCAAGGAGTTCAGATTGCGGAGAGATCAAATTGTGGAGAAGCTCTTTACTTGTCGATGGACGCGGTGCTCCGGCTGCGATCGAGTGGAGCTGGCTGTGCAGGAATATGAAGATGAGAGTGGCAGAGGGTGCAAGAGTGGGTTTGACGGAGAAGATGGCCGGGGGTGTGAGTTTGAGATTGGTGGTAGCAAAGGGAGCAAGGTGAATAGCAGTAGAGATGATCATGGCGAGATGAATATGAATCAGATTGCCAGTAATTATAGCTATGGAGAAGCTGAGGCATTGACTGAAGAGATTGAGGAGGAATTGCAGATTGTTGAGGAGGTTTTGAGGATCAAAGAGATTCTTGAGAACAATCAAGATGAGGTTTTTTCCATTGCTTTCTACATTAATGCTTATCCTCTTTATGAATTTTGTCTTCTGGGCATCAGGTTTTTGATGGGTTGTTCTTGATTGATGTTTCTGCAGAGTGATTCAGTGTTGGTTGAACTGCTAAGGAGGCTTCAATTGATGGCTTTAACTGTTGATACTCTTAAGGTTTGATTGGAACTTTTCTGAATTCAATTGTTTGCCTTTTGTCTGAAATTTTTGTTACTGCTCCTTTACTGAACGTTTTTGGAGACTAATGTAATTTATGTACCTTCCAGACAACTGGTATTGGAAAGGCTGTGAATAGCATTAGGAAGCATGGATCAAAGCAGATTCGTCATCTAGCTCAGATTCTCATTGAGTATGTGTTCATTTCTTGCGGTTTTGCTGCAATTTAAACGTTTTGTTTGTTGACTGGGATTTGAGTATCAAGTTCATGCTTGTCATAACCAATGTATTGTTAGGAAATTGCATGCACAACTCTGCTGACCGTTTTGGTTGGATCTTTTGGGTTTTTATTTCAGATTCCTTGCCTTTACTCTTATAACAGCCTTTTGTAGTTTCTCATTTTATTAGTATTTCTCCCCACTTTTATTGACTTTAGGTTTTGGTTTCTGCTTCGTTGAAAACATATGGACATGGGATCACTGATACATAAATGAGCTAATCAGTGGTTAACTAGGACAATTTTAATGGCAAAGCCTCTTATGACACTAGTCTTTGTTAATGTTAATGATCCGCTATAGATTTCAAGTGTATATAGCTAAATGAAATATTAGATTTGGACCTTACTACATAGGCTGAGAAGATTGCCTGGATGCATGATCTAACTCTGTTTCTTGATGCAGTGGGTGGAAGGAATTGGTGGACGAGTGGGTTAATGCTACAAAGGCTATTGCAGGCAAGAGCTAGTTTGTCTCTGTTTTGTAATTAATAGAAACAAGTAATGATGTTTCCTGGCTTTAACTAGTAGCAAATTTATGGTTGCAGAAAGTACTCCAGAATCAGTAAATCCATCAGTTGTTGATGAGGAAGAAGAAGAAGAAGGGCTTCCATCTCCTCCTTTGGATGAAGGGGCTTTCTTTGCTACTCAACCTACATCAATAGAGTTTGAACGGGTATTCGATCTTTTTGTCCCTTATTTTCCTCATTTGGTTAGCAACAAAATTTTCATTATGGTGTCATGTTTGTGGACTGACTGGGTTTCATTTTTCTTGATGTGGTGTTACTGCAATGTGGTGAAGTTTTTTGAGTGCATGGATGATGATGGAAGTAAGTTGAATTTTCCATCTGCTATGCTTCTTTTATAGAGCTTTGGTCTTCGGTTCTTTATTTGAATTCCCCACTTCTTAGATTCATGATTATGAATGGGGAATGCTGTTTCAGATCCTCGAAACTGTGGGGAATTCATCAAGAACCGTGATAATGGTAGAAGACCATCACAGGTAAACCAAAAGGCGATGAAGCAGAAACAGCAGACTCCTAAAGATGCAAATATGGTAGCTAAGGACAACACAGTCCAACAAACAAAAAGACAAGAAACTGTTGTGAAGCCTAATAACAGGCCCTTAAATACTGATTTGGGGTCTGCGAGACCTCCAAGACAAAGTGCAGAGCAGAAGGCCAATAATGAATTAAAGTTGCAGCAAAAGTCAGAAAAGATGGTTCTTGAAAAGAAGCCTCTCTCGAGTCAACAAGAAGTGAGTACATTTGTTTATTGATATTCCATTTCTTGCACTCACATCATCAAACTTTGTCTGATCGCTCCCTGGTCTTCATGTAGAAATTCAAGTCTTCAGATGAAGTTTCTGTTCAACAGAAGCTCGAAGCAACAAAAAAGAAACTTCAAGAACGTTACCAACAGGCTGAGAATGGTTCGTCTCTTTCATTCTGACTGCAATTGTGTTTAAATTGCATTTGTATTATATTATATGCTTGTGTTGAACTAGTCTGACAGCAAAATATTTGTCCATTTAACAGCCAAGAGGCAGCGGACGATACAGGTCATGGACTTGCATGATCTCCCTAAGCAGGGGCTTGGCCAAAAAAATACACATATTAGACCAGGCATCCATAACCGGCATTGGGCAAATGGAAGGAGATAGTTCTTGTTTCTGGAGGAGCGATGTAGATAGGCTTTGGAGTTTCTTCCATTCTAAAATGTCTGCTGAAGAACACCAGCAACCCTTGGTGCTCCTGACCTGACATGAGCTACTAACAATAAAATTTCTCCTGAGATATCACTGCCGGATAAGGCCTTTGTTAACAACTCATTCAAACTTATGCTTGTTATACATTTTGAACACTGATTTTAGGGACCTGATTTTTTTATTTTTCCCCCTCAAGTGAAATTATATAGAGGATGGGTGTATACAAAAATGGGAACTGAATTTTCGTTTTTAATTCTGTGCTGAAATGATTATCTATGAAGAAACCATTTTTGACTACTTCATTTGTTTGACATCTCAGTTATAGGTTTTTATATTGAATAAATCTAGAGGTTAAAGATTGGGAAGAGCTCCTTTAGTAACATTTTTATTTTTTGTTTTGGTTGTCACACTTAATAAATTCTCAGTTTTTTTGTTTTTAGTTATTATTTTTAACTATTGCCAAAAGAAAATCTAATTAAAATAAAAAAAAATTAAAACTGCAACAATATTAAACAAAACCTAAACAATACGGAGTTTGTACTCAGAGCCATCTCCCCTTATCACCCAAATTACAAATGATTGCCACTTTTTCAGAAATTGCAAGGTGGAGAAGACCCCACAATGATCCATGTGAATTATGGTAAGCAATGAAAGGTGTTTTGGCATTTTAGGTATATCATCAATGGGGAGTGGGGGACAAGATTATTCTAATTCTCCTCTTCAAAAATCGCTATCTAGAGGATGTAGCCTTGACAACCACAGAGCAGAAGAATGTAATAAAAAAGATACTGAATCTTTGTGGGTGGAGAAAAAGGAGAAAAATATTCCTTAATGCCAATGGTAGAATTCTTGTTATCACTTTGGGAAATCACATACCATACAAACAAAAGGGATTCCACTTTCATTTTAAATTTCAACTACTACAATATCTCGTGACTTCTAAAGGCATTGAATAGCCAATTTCATTTTGAAAAGTAGTATTCCTTTTGCGATTTTATTCTTTTGCAAGAATAGAATGTTCTTGAAAAGGGAAATTGTGTAGAAAATAAAATTTCACACTTTGGAAAGTATTATTTTGGTTTAATTTTTTATTTTGACAAGAAGGTTTTAAGATAGCAAAAAAATTATAGGTTCCTCTTGCCTAATTACATTTCCACTAACATAGCACTATAGCAAGTACTTATTTAAGGGTATATATGGTTTGCGGAGACGAAGGGAACGAAAGGAGAGGGAAATTTTTTTTTTTTTATCTATTTAAGTTAGAACATTTTTTATTTTTCATCCAATCATATTAAGATGATGTTTTTTCATCCAATTAAATTAAGACACGAATTTTCACAACCTATAATTTCTTCAAATTATATATACCTTAAAATTGTTCACAAAGATATTAGTTTTAAAATTTTCACACATTTGACTTAAAAATACCTAACCATTCAAAGAAAATTATATATGAAACAGAAGAATGTTTTCCCAAGGGTAGCTCTCTCCCCTCAAAAAATTGCAACTTCCTGCCAAGCAAACAACCCTTAAAAGAACAAAGAAGAATTTAGCTCACTAATTAAAATTGTGGTCTAGTGATAATTCCATTTTTTGCAAGAGTAAGAGATATTTAGTTTCATGATTTATAAACAGAAGGGTTAAATAAGTTAAGAAATATAAAAGCGTAACCACCAATTATGTAATCCAAAATCAAATAAAAAAACACTTATTAAAAATTTAAACCTCTGAAACTTCTGCAAGGATAAGCTAACTTTCGGCTTAAACAAACTATTCACCAACGAGGTTTTTACATAAAACCTAGGATTGTTAATTTTATAACAGCAAAATACAAGGTAAGAGAAATTGAAATGAAAGTGAATATAATCACGTGTAAGGAATATATATGAGGTTAGATATTCTGTTATTGGAACTCCATCAACGAGTCCAGGAGACACGTTTTTTTGTTTCATACCTAACTAATTCCATGGTGATGAACAATTAAATACTGAATAACCTCACATGCTTTGTCTTGGAAGGTTTATTTATTTCTTTATAAATTAAGACAGTTCATGCACCAATTAATGGAAATTTTAATTGACTATTGCATGCCTAAACTGATCATTGATCACATATTGTCCAATATAATTTATGCAATTGCATCTCTCCCTCCCCCAAC